TGTTTGTCGGCCGTACTCCGCGTACTTATCGGGACTTGTTTGTGTAGTGTATTAACTTCAGACGGTGAGACAACGCCCGTACCCAGGACGCTGTCGTGCTCGGAAAGCAGGAGGAGAAAGAGAGAGTGGCAGCGCGGCTGCTGCACTCAACAAAGGGGGTCCCGGTGCATCATCACCGTACCCCTACCTAAAAGGTTCTACACCATCTGCGTCACACTTGTACGTATGGCTAATGTATCCAAACCATGTCCGTAGACCCACGAACAATTTTTGGATGGTGTGGTGCCGTCGAAACGAAGGGGCGGCCATCGACGAAACGCCCGTGAGTGCGTGTACGGAGGGAGAGGAAGGGAGGACAGAGGTGTAGGGTACGCTGATCAAAAGGCGTTGATCGCGTACAGAAGGATCATGACGCAGGACTCTACAACCGCCAACGACAAGAGTCTGCCGACATTGACGGTAGCCAGATACAAGCGTAGTTGGACGGAAGAGGAAAAACGCTACTATTAAAGGCCCATGCATGTTTATGGTTTCCAAATCTTTATCTTCCTTTCTTTGGACAAAAGTGAAAAAGCAACATTTGTCCAAAGAAAGGAAGATAAAGATTTGGAAACCATATTTCGACCTTGTGGGCAGTCTGCCTTCCGAACGAATGCGAATCAGCTGTTCGACCTTTGAGAACAGTCACAGCTTTGCCTGAGATGCATACAGGCCTCCTATTTGTTTCGCCAGGGTCCAGATTTGATTTTTTCAAGATGCGCAATTTTCACCCAAGATTTTTCCAACACCAGCTTTTGGACAGATCTTGGCCCAAGATTTGCTACGAGGTGGCCCTTCGGCCGAATCTTCAACATCTTGCTCTGCTGGAAAAAAATCAATCGTGGACCCTGGCGAAACAAATAGGCGGTCTGTATGCATCTCAGCCAAAGCTGTGACTGTTCTCAAACGTCGAACAGCTGATTCGCATTCGTTCGGGAGGCAGACTGCCCACAAGGTCGAAAAAGCCAACATTTGTCCTAACAAAAGAAGATAGATAACGATTTGGAAACCATGAACATGGGCCTAAACAACTTTCGAACGAACACGGAATCCACACACAGCGCCACAGTGGTACATCATTCGGGCAGTACTCTGCAAAATACTCCGGTACGTCATAATCACCTGGCGGGTGGCGTGCTTCGCCGACGGCGGCCCGACTCCTACATCCGTTCCTTGCTCCACGGGCTTTCTATGGTCGCACAGCTGCACCCGCGCGTCCTGCCGGGCCAGGGACCGCAAGAACACAAGCAGGAAGTGCAACATGATAACGCGAAAACGGGGAGGGGCGTTCTGACGGTCGGCAGCGGACTCTCCCTTGTGTGCAGGCTGGACGCCAGCAGCAGCAGCAGCAGCAGCGGCAGCAGCAGCAGAGAAAAAAAGCACACGCGCCAAAAACGACACACAGGAGCCGGCACAAGCTGGTGCTCGAGCGGCAGAATGAGTGCAGCAGTGGCCTCATGACGGTAGCAAGATCAGCCGAGGGCAACCGCCTCTGGTGCCAAAGGACGTGCTAGAACAAAGCAGACATTATTCCGCCGAATCATTCATGAATAGGCGGTACTGTACACGCGCACTCGAATCAAACGCACATCACGAGTCGGGGGTTTTGGGCAGGCCGGGCCTGGTCGAGAACCCAAACACCGAAAAACTGACGCCTTCATCTCCCCGCCTCCATCCTGCCTACGACGCCATACAAGCCCAGCCCCAGTAACTCACCGAACGTGCCGATCTCCTGGGGGCCCTGTCTGCTGGACGGGCACCCCGCCGTGTATGCCTCGATCACGCTCTCCGACGTGTATTTCGGGCTAACGCCGACCGGAAAACTCCCCCCCTTCCGCTGCTGCTGCTGCTGCTGCCGCCGCCGCCGCCGCCAGTGCCGCGCGTCCTCTTTCGGGCGGCGAAATCCAACGACCGCTCCCTTCCTGTTGACATGCTATTGTACCATGATGGTCTCCCCGCTGCTACAATTCACAGGAGCGATGGAGTTCGCGGCGCATCCTCCATGGTGTCGCATTCCTCTTGTTGGGCATAAAGTCCGTCCGCGTCTTCATTTAGGGCGAGGAGTCGCGGGTGGTGTCACGGCCTGTTCTGTCCGACTCTTGTCGCCGCGCCCCGCCCCACCCGTTGCCCGCTGCTCCTAGTAGTCTCATCGCGAGTTGATTCAATCCTTCCTCTGTGGAAATATCCTAGGTCAATGATACCCTGAAACCGTAACGCGCACAAAAGAGGATGTAGTCCGTTCGACAGTCGCTCATCACATCTCTCATCTGAAAGACAGGTGTGTCTAAAAGAATATATGCTGAAAAGTACTTCACAGAATTGCAATACAGTATTCATACCTGGAAGAAGATTGCTCGAAGCGCTTGTGGTGCTTTGTAAAACACCCAAATGATAAAAATCAGGGAGGATTCGTGTACAGCATTCAAGTACCGCGCAGTCGACACAAAGATGCAAGCGTGCGTGTTGCACGTATTCGGTAACGTCTCGACATGTATTCATCTCACCCTCTCTTGCTCACCAAATTCCATCAAAAATGTTCCGATAGATGGTGAGCACATCGAGCAGCGTGATATCTAATCTTGCTCTGTGTTTCTCATGTATCGTGCATATGTAGCACGTAGCACAGCAGAATCTCGTACGGGTACACGGGTGGCCAGAGGGCAGGTTGTGGGTGGGTTGTGAGCATCCACAAGGTAGGGGCAGGTTNTCCCTTTGGTAGATCAGGGGTATCCATGCCCCACGTTAGGTTTGCCATTCGCGTGCAAACCGGGGAGGGTGTTCGTGTGTTTGGATACGGACTGGTTAGATCTACCGGCAACAACAGAGGGCACGCAGATGGGGCATATGTACACCTTGAAATGGTTGCATGTGCGGGGACCCCTCGAACTCCACTGAGGGCTTCCCTTCTCCCTACTCCCCTTTNTCAGGCCACACCTCTTGGATGTGCAAGCACAGATCACACAGGTTGGGGGGCATCCACAACGTTAGGCCACACCTCTTAGTTGTGCAAGCACCGATGATACAGGTTCGGGGGCATCCACAACCTTAGGTCAGACCTCCTGGTTGTGAAAGCACCTATGATACAGGTTGGGAGGCGGTCACTGTTCGTGTGTTTGGATACGGACTGGTTAGATCTACCGGCAACAACAGAGGGCACGCAGATGGGGCATATGTACACCTTGAAATGGTTGCATGTGCGGGGACCCCTCGAACTCCAAAGAGGGCTTCACTTCTCCCTACTCCCCTTGCGTGTCTAATACAAGAGAGAAAACGTCTTCCCCTTCCAAGTAAAGGACATATACGAACACACTAGTGTCAGTCCCTCGAGGGAGAGTCCATTAGGAATGTCAGGTCGCAAAGATGGGGGTGACTCCTCCAGCGACTCTGCGGCGGAAGACAGAAAGCGGTCAAGAGAAGAGCTCGTGGCCCTGAGGACGCAAGTTAGCTAGCTGACGATTCAGATGAGCCAGCTCATGTCGCTAGTGGAAGATACCATGAAGGCAAGCGAGAAGGAGGAGCCAGCTGGCACCATGGAGGGTGCCGCTGATCGCGGCGATGCTAGGGAGAGCGCCGCTGCGGAGTCCACGAACGCCGAAGGAGGGGCACCGTGGACCGGGAGTGCGCAGGACGGGAGGTTCCTGCGCGAACCTGTTCGAGAGTCTGGCCCGTCAGGGCCACACAGCGGCGAAGCAGGGGGCTTTGTCCCCCAAGAGGTGAGAGTAGCCGCTGCTCACAACCAAGATTGCGGTAGTGCCATGGGAGATGGTGGTGCTGCTGTTGGCTTTGGATACGTAGCCACAACCGCTGCGACGGGGTACCAAAGTGTGTGGTACACTTCTCCGTTCAGCGGGAGATCGAAAGATTTCAACGAATGGCGAAATGATTTCCGCATGGCAGCTTAAAGCGCAAACCTGTTGGAACAAGTTGAAGAGAGCGGGAGCTTGGAGATCCCCGTCAACAGCGGAAAGAGCAAGTTTTCGCTGTCACAGCAGTACCGGAGCGAGCAAGTATAGCTCGCATTCCACGCGTGGAACTTCCTGTCTTACGCGTTGAAAGAAAAGATCGGAAAATCATGAACAGGGCAGAGACCCCCCAGGGAGCTCTTCGTGAGCTCAAGACCATTCACGACCCTGAATCATCTGTACAGCCGTCAGAGGACCTCAAGTCCCTGACGTCGACCAAGATCTCTAGAGGTGAAACCCCCCAAAACGCCCTAAATAGGATGCTCCAAACCGCAAAGTCCTTAACCGAGAAAGGACTAACTGTCAACGAAACGTTCGTCCTTCACCTCTTCCTGGATGCCCTTTCGGACGAGTATGCCATGACAAAGCACAATCTGCGACACTCGAAGGAGTTGATGCGGACCGGTGTGCAAAAGGAAGTAATGATCGAATACAAGGCGATCAAGGACAAGCTGGAGCAGGGGAAAGGAAAAGGGGTGAAGGGCGCAGAGCAAGCGTACCTCGCCGACGGTGAGGGCCGCAAGGAGCGGTACTCAAGTAGGAGTCAGGGGCAAGGTCGTGGTCGTGGCGGCGGCCGTGGCCGCAGCAGCAGTCGTGGCCGCGGCGGAGGTGGTCGCGGCGGCCGCTCAGGCGGATCCGGAGGAGTCGAGGAGAGCAAGGGAAGCAGCAGTGGAGGCGCCGATGGCGGCGGTGGTGGGGACTATAAGTTCCCGGGCCGGTGCTTTAGATGTGGACATCGTGGACATCAAGCGATTGGCTGCACTACCAACAAGACGGACTTCGTGCCGTGGTGTGCGCGCTGCGAGGGGTGGGGCCACACCAAAGAAAAGTGCGCGACGGAGGAGGCCGTCCTAGCGCAAGTGGTGGAGCATGAGAGCGACGTGGACTCCGTGGAAGACCAGGCGTTTTGTGCCGTGGCAGTCCCCCCAGGCGAGTGTGGTACCGTTGGTGAAGTAGGTCTAGTGGGGGTTGTGGAACAAGGCCAGGCGGTGTACGTGGCCGACACAGCGGCCACGTGCTCCATGTTCCGATGTGCAGACAACTTCGTGAACTACCGTGAGCGTAGCGGTTGGGTGAAGGGGATCGGAGGCGACAAGGCCCCCGTTCCTCTTCTAGGATACGGAGATGTGACCTTCGTCCTACAGACGGAGGATGGTGGAGTACCCGTGCCAGTACTGAATGCTGCCCATGTACCAGAGGCCCCCTACAACCTCCTCTCGCTGTCTTCGTTGGCGGAGGAGGGCCACACGTATTCGGGGATCACGGGGGGCCTCACGCTGCCCATGAAAGCCGAGGGGGAGGTGTGGTTCCCCCGGACTGGAAAGCCNGTCAACTTCGTGAACTATCGTGAGCGTAGCGGTTGGGTGAATGGGATCGGAGGCGACAAGGCCCCCGTTCCTCTTCTAGGATACGGACATGTGACCTTAGTCCTACAGACGGTAAGATGGTGGAGTACCCGTGCCAGTACTGAATGCTGCCCATGTACCAGAGGCCCCCTACAACCTCCTCTCGCTGTCTTCGTTGGCGGAGGAGGGCCACACGTATTCGGAGATGAAGGAGGGCCTCATGCTGACCACGAAAGCCGGGGGGGAGGTGTGGTTCCCCCGGACTGGAAAGCTGCTGACCCAACGAGACTATCAAATAAAGCCAACGCTACACACCGCCTGTGCCACACTCATTGTTCCTGGCGATGCGAAAGCAGCCAGCCCCACTGACTGCAACGAGTACAACCTCACACACGGCCATGCCCACGAGACATTGCTTAGGATCACGGCGGAGCAGCACGGAGTGCAGCTGACGGATTGACCGCTGCTACCCTGTCTTGGCTGTTCGATGTCCAAGGGACAGGTGGAACTTGTCCAGAAGAGCACGAGCACACGCGCAATTAAAAAGTATTTCGCGTGTATCTCGCCTTGGGGGGAAAGATGAAAACCNCAGCAGGGAGTGCAGCTGACGGATGGACCGCTGCTACCCTGTCTTGGCTGCTCGATGTCCAAGGGACAGGTGAAACCCGTCCAGAAGAGTGGGAGCACACGCGCTGTTGAGAAGTTCTTTCGCGTGCATCTCGACTTGGGGGGAAAGATAAAAACCAGGAGCATTGGTGGCAACTGGTACACACTGATCATCCGAGACGATTTCTCCCGTTGGACGCGTGTTTTCTTCTTGAAGCACAAGTCTGACGAAGCGGTTGGGTTTGAGAAGTTCCTGGCGGACTACCGAACGAAAGGGGTTCCGTGTGAGGTTTATATCGCACGTGCCGACGGTGGCGGCGACTTCTAGGGGCAGTTTGCGGAAGTTTGCCGCAGACACGGCATCAAACAAGAGGTCACCCCCCCTCACACCCCAAAATACAACGGTGTAGCGGAGAGAGCGCTAGGGTTGATCACTGATGCCGCGCTTGCGTCACGCATCCAAGCGACGCAACTGTTCCCCGACGCACCGAACCACCCCGGGTTGTGGGCCGAGGCCATTTCGTGTGCATGCCATCAGCTGAACTGCACCGCCACTAAATCAAACGAGGGAGACAAATCCGCCTACGAGATGTTCCACGACTCTCCACCGCCTGTCGGCTCTGCATACCCGTTTCTCAAACCAGCCGTGTTCAAGTCGACAAGAAAAGTAAAGTCGCAACCCAAAAGCGAAAAAGGATGGTACCCTGGTCCTGCCCACAATCATCCCCGTGACTGCGTTCGCATGCTAACCGAAGCTGGAACCGTAATCACCACCCGCAATTTCACCTGGCGCCACGTGCCCGCTGCATCGCCCGCTCCCCCGCAGCTGCTACCTCTCGCAGATGACGAGGAGGGCGGGGAGGGCGAGAGCAGAGCGGATGCATCACGCCAAGGTTGGGGGAGGGAGAGAGACTCGGAGAGTAAGTCCGACCTCGACGTGATGGAGGCTCGTGGGCCAGGGCAAGCGACGCCGTTTGTGCGCGAGGAGGCGCCGACGGCACCCGGCAACGGGATTCCGGGGGACGGAGGCAGCGTTCCCCCGTCGCCCCCTTCGGGAAGGGGCGACTTCGGCGGAGGCAGTGACAGCCCCACCGACAGCAGCAGCAGCAGCAGCGGCAGCAGCCCGAGCAGCAGCAGCAGTGGCGCCGGCGGTGCCGTCGGCCCGGGCGGCGAAGAGTCCGGCGACCCAGGTGGGGACGGTGGTAGCGAGGTCGATTCCGGCGACTCCGAGAACCTCGAGGAGTTGAAGTATGATCCAGCCGACGACCGTTACCTCCGCGGGCTATAAGGGAAGAAACTCCTCTGGGGCGCCTCGAACGCTGGCCCGCTGCGCCATGGGCTTGAGAGTGGCCGCACGCGGAAGCAGACCCGGGAGATGCAAGGTGCCGGGAAGATGCCGGGGCCTGGAGAAACAACGGACCCGGAAGAGGCACTGCTGGCGACCATCCTGGAAACTGGCGGGACGGAGATTGCTTAGGACTATATCTGCAACTCGCTTGTGAAGGAGCAGTGGGACGAGGAGCAGACA